ATACATCCGGGCATAGGATGTGGAAAGATCTGTTTATAAGTGTCTGGAATTTAGCCTTGTAAACAGAGGAGAGTTTTTTGTATATTGTCCTGAAATAGTGGAAATATAATTTTTTTCTCTCATATATTCTTCTTGTGTTTGTTCTCTCATTTTCCTGGTGTTCTCAATATTTGTCGGTATCTTACGCGCTTAAAATCCCAACAATTGGTATCAGAGCTTGGTTGCGCTGGGCAGGAGGGATTTGTAAGCGGTAAAAGGAGAAATTTTGAGAACCCAGGGATTGGTCGGTTTTGGCCAGAAGGCGACCATGGAACTTCAAAAACAAAGTGAATGGCATGAGGACCGAGTACGAAGCGGCATGTTGGCTTTGTGAAGTATGGTGCAGGAACAAGGCTTGAAGAGATCGGTGGTCTAGCGGAGTGGAAAACTGCGGTTTATGTCTTGTGTCGAAAGTCTTCTCGGCAAGAAGAGGTCGGGCGGCGTGTCCCGCAGGTGTTGCTGCGGCGGTGCAAGATGGGCAGATGGAAAGAAGCTAATTGCGAGATGGGTGGTCTCAGAGAGTGTTAACAAAGGTGAGTTGTCATTTTTTTTAGCTCAGGATGGAGGGTTAAAACTCTAGGGAGCTAAGGTAGTGGCAGAGATCTTGACGGGATTGGTTGAGATGGAGTCACGGGTACAATGAAAACTGGAAGCGGCAAGCTAGGACCTTGTGTTATTGAACAAGGTGGAGCTACAAAAGCAATAAAGGGTGACAGAGATCTTGCAATTTTGAGCAAGATGGGGTCACAAGAAAATGTTTTCAAGGTGGTAATGATCTTGGTGGTTGGACCAAGGTGGAGCCACGGTGAATTTTTTTTCTTCTTTGAGGTTGGCAGCAGTGATCTCGGTGGAGTAGACTGAGAGGGCGCCAAGGATAATTTTTTTTTTTGGAGTAGCGGTGATCTCACCGGAGAAGTGAGGTGGAGCTACAAAGTTTTTTTTTGATTATTTAATCAAGGTGGAGTTTGTTGGGAAATTGATTAATAATCAAAAGAAAAAAAGAAAAGAAAAGAAAAATAAGGAAGAAGACATTGAAAGAAAGAAACGTGACTTGGACAACAAAGTGATTTGGTGCATATTATCATATCAAAGTGGATCTTTCCTTCTTGACTTATTCTCAAGCCATGCATGTATATACGGAGTATTTCTTTGGTTATAAAAGCAA